CAGGGCACGGATTCCCAGAGTACACGGCATGTTCAAGCCCAGTACACCACAGTCACCTGGAACCCAAAGGCGGCGTTTGGTCCACGATGCTCCCGTTAGAGAATCCCTCACACAGGAGAAAGAGGAGACCTGGATTTTAACAGAAATTCCAGATGTAAATCACGTACCTGCCAAACCTTGGTTTTACACGGCGGAGTGGGAAATGTGAACACAGAGCTACCAGTGAGCCCCAGCAGACCCCCAGCTGGGTGCAGGGACACGGAGCCCACCCGCTCAGGCACCCCCAGGCACCAAGGAATAAGGCTGGGGATGGGGGGGTAAGCCCCTCGCGGCTGCGTTCTCAGTTTCTGGATGAATCCAGATGCGTGTCTGGGCATACATGCGTGTCTTGCCCCATACAGAACAAACTACCTGTAGTGGAGATAAGATAGCGCCCCTCGGTTCCCGGATCCCTCTCCCACAAAAAGCAGCCTTTTCGGGGCATCTGAGGACTCAGCCAACAAGAGGTAGTGGCACGACTGTGATGGTTCATTTTACATCAGCTTGACGGGGCTGAGGGACGCCCGGCTGCCAGGGAAGATGTTCCCTCTGGGGTGTCTCTCTAGGAACGTTTCCAGAAGCGAATGGGTGGAGTGAAGAGTGCCCTTGCAAACCCGGGCTGGCTTCACCAGCCGTCATGGGGCCCGAACGGAAGGAGGTAGAGGAGGGCAGTTTGAGCGCAGACCTCCACCTTCCGTCCTCAGATACTGGACTCCTGGTTCTTGGGCCTTTAGATTCGAACCAGGAGCCCTGTCAGCTCCCGCAGTTGTCAGGCCCTCCCCGCTGGCTTTGCGGGTTCTCCAGCGTGCAGACGGCGATGGTGGGACTTCCTCGGCCTCCGCTATCACGGGAGGCAACTCCTCTAAGGACCATCCTTGTCTGTCTGTATCTCCACACCCTATTGATTCGGTTTCTCTAACAGCAGCTCATGTCAAAGGAGCAGAGACATGGGGCACCTGGGTGGCTCAATGGGTTAAGCCTCTGCCTTCAGCTCGGGTCATGATCCCAGGGTCTTGGGATCGAGCCCCGCATTGGGCTCTCTGCTCAGTGGGGAGCCTGCTTCCGTCTCTGTCTCTCTGCTTACTTGTGATCTCTCTGTCAAATAAATAAATAATCTTAAAAAAAAAAAAAAGGAGCAGAGATGTGCTTCCGCCTAATCAGCGGCGGTAGAGGGCTGGCGGACTTCAGTATAGGAGGAGATAAGCCTCTGGAGTTAGAAAACTCTTAATCTTAAAAAAAAATCTTAAAAAAAAAAAAAAAAAAAAAAAGAGCGGGGGACCAGGGGGAGATGGCGGGACGCCTGGGCAGCTCAGACAGTTAAGCCTCTGCCTTAGGCTCAGGTCATGATCCCAGGGTCCTAAGATCGAGTCCCGCCTCGGGCTCCTTGCTCAGGAGGGGAGCCTCCTCCCTCTGCCTGCTGCTTCCCCTGCTTGTGATCTCTCTCTCACTCTCTAACAAAATCTTAAAGAAAAGAAAAAGAAAACAGAGCCTAAGGGCGCCTGGTTGGCACAGTTGGTTAAGCATCCACTTGATTTCTGCTCAGGTCATGATCTTAGGGTCCCAGGATCAGGGCTCCGCATCCAGCTCTGTGCCCAGCGGGGAGTCTCCTTCTCCCTCTTCTCCTCCTACCCCATTCTCTCTCTAAAATAAATCAGTGAATCTTTAAACAAAAAGAAAAAAAAGAAAAGGAAAGGAAAGAGAAATCAGAACCTATTCCCCAATCTTCAAACAAATCTCTCACTTTCTGAGAGCAGAAATAATAGATAGGAGATGGGAAAACAGGATAAATCCACTGCCTTTAAAACAAACAAACAAAAACACCTGTAAGCGTGAATCAGTTAACTGGAGAATTCCCATCAATACCGTGGTAAGGCACAGCTGCCCTAGAAAAACTCCTTACGTTGTTATGTAAAGAAACACTTTGAAAAATTGACTGTAGAGAGCTACTCAAGACACCCGCAAAAGGAAACTGCAACCCAGCCTGCTGCTGCTCCCGTAAATATCGCATCTGCTTACCGGCAGAACACCCAGTGCTCAGGGACTCCTCGGACCCAACAGGCACCTGCTGTGAAGATGGCAACGTGGGGGTGGGAAGCACCGGGGCCAGCACACGCCCTCCCAACGCAACCCAGACACTCCCCTTAAAACATACGCCACAATAAAGCAAAATCGTTTGTTCCAAGAAGAGGGAACGTGTATCCTGTGAAGATGACCTATTCCCAAGCAGCAAGCCCCTTTGCAAACGGTCTTTTCTAGGGGTCAGTCCGATGTAGAGCTCAAGGAAGTCTGCAGAGTTGGAAGAACAAATGTCTTTTTCATTGACCTGGTTAAGTTTTGATAAAAATAAAATAAGAAAAAAGAGCTAATATTTTAGAAGCAAAGAGGAGACAAGTCGAAGCAACCATCCTATTAAATCCTCTCTCACAGAGAGAGAGACCACACACAAGCAGGGGGAGCAGCAGAGGGAGAGGGAGAAGCAGGCTCCCCAATGAGCAGGGAGCCCGATGGGGGGCTCGATCCCAGGACCCTGGGATCAGATGCTTAACCGACTGAGCCCACCAGGCGCCCTTCTTTGGAAGGCTTAAAGGGGGAATTTTAAAATTATCTATGGGAGAATATAGGGAGACTTCTATAGTACATTTTTTTCTGTGGAAAACTACAGTAAATAGTCTTATGTTTGAATCCACAGTGATTTACAGCAAGTTCCAAATAAACACGCCTTCTTATTTACAAAACCAGTAGTCTTACAATAAGGATGCATTTAAATGCAAGTTTCTTAATTTCTTATTCATTATTAGTTTGCAATTTCATAATCACTTCAACACCTCACTGTTCATTACAATGTTAAAAATTATGATTTCCAAAAGTGAATAACCAAGTCCAATATTTTGTTCTATGAGAAGTGCTTCTAAATTTATGATTGTGTTCAATCCTTAAAAGCAGAATCCATAAAGGCAAAAGAACAAAATTATCCAAACTTAACTTCTAAGGCAAATTTCCCTGTTTTCATTGACAAAATGATACAACCTAAACAATCTCAAATGACTTCTTTTAGGATACAGGCACCCCTACGTTTATAGCATTATTTACAATAGCCAAGAGAGGGAAGCAGTCCAAGTGTCCATCAATTGACGGATGGATAAAGATGTGGTATGTGTACATGTATGTAATGAAATACTAGTCATAAAAAAGAATGAAGGGGCACCTGGGTGGCTCAGTGGGTTAAGGCCTCTGCCTTCAGCTCAGGTCATGATCCCAGAGTCCTGGGATCGAGCCCCGCATCGGGCTCTCTGCTCAGCAGGGAGCCTGCTTCCTCCTCTCTCTGCCTGCCTCTCTGCCTACTTGTGATCTTGTCTGTCAAATAAATAAAAATAAAACCTTTAAAAAAAAAAAAGAATGAAATCTTGCCATTTGCAATGACATGGATGTAGCTAGAGACTATTATGCTAAGCGAAACTTAAGTCAGTCAGAGAAAGACGACATGATTTCACTCATTTGTGGAATTTAAGAAACAAGCAAAGCGGGGGGGGAAGACATACTAAGAAATGGTTCTAAATTATAGAGAACGGACAGTTACCAGTGGTGAGGTGGTTGGGGGTTCAATAGGTGATGGGGATGAAGGCCTGCACCAAGTGACCCACAGAGTGCTGAATCGTTAGATTGTACACCTGAAATAATTATTACTCTGTATGTTAACTGGAATTAAAAAGAAAACTTTAGGGGCGCCTGGGTGGCTCAGTGGGTTAAAGCCTCTGCCTTTGGCCCAGGTCATGATCCCAGGGTCCTGGGATCGAGCCCCGCATCAGCTCTCTGCTCGGCAGTGAGCCTGCTTCCCCCTCTCTCTGCCTGCCTCTCTGCCTACTTGTGATCTCTGTCAAATAAAATCTTAAAAAAAAAAAAACTTTAGGGGCGCCTGGGTGGCTCAGTGGGTTAAGCCTCTGCCTTCGGCTCAGGTCATGGTCTCAGGGTCCTGGGATCGAGCCCCGCATTGGGCTCTCTGCTCGGCAGTGAGCCTGCTTCCCCCTCTCTGCCTGCCTCTCTGCCTATTTGTGATCTCTCTCTCTGTCAAATAAATAAATAAAATCTTAAAAAAAAAAAAAAAAACTTTAAAGTTTTATAACTCAATCTTTTATAACTCAATCGTGGAAACAATTTATCTGAAAGAGTATTTTTTTTTTTTTAAGATTTCATTTATTTGACAGAGAGAGCACAGGCAGAGGGAGGAGGGGAAGCCGACTCCCTGCTGAGCAAGGAGCCTGATGCGGGCTCAATCCCAGCACCCTGGGTTCATGACCTGAGCAGAAGGCAGAAGCTTAAGTGACTGAGCCACCCAGGCGCCCCATGTATTAAAAAATTAAAGAAAAAAGTTGTTATTGTGAACATTTCCCCAAAGTGGCTTTCAGAAAAAAACACAACTTATTCTAATATAACCACATGAAGACATTCTAAATCTATTTAGCAACGGATATTCAATAGAGAATTCCATTATTTGTTCTTTGCAACTGGCTGAAAATTTCTATTCTTGCAATTTACAAGACAAAGGAAAGAAAACATTCAATGGGTCATGGAAAGCTCTACCCCAAAGGAATAGACTTGATTTAAAACAAGACAAAAGGCAGGGGGGTAGGGGTTTGAGAAGAACACAGCTCCCATTTTAAAACAATTCTGTGTTCTCACTTGACCATCCCTTGGTGACTCACCATCCCTTGGTGACCCCAGAGGGTCCACTAAGCAGGGCTCTCACTGCCCAACCAGGACAGCGTCCTTCACACTGGCTGCGATCACAACACGTTCTATGTCCTGGAAGGAAAGTGAGAGCAGAGTGCCGACCTAAGCTTCCTAGGTTGTCTTTCAAGCTCTGCTTCTGGTCTTCTAAGTCGGTAGCCTACTTGGACCGATGCTGAAAAGACTTCTCAGTACAAGGAAGACGGCACTGATAAAAGACAAGGTGACCCGAGACCACACGCGTAAAAGAAGACATTTATTATGCTAGATAACACGTTTTCTTCTCCATTTCCCCCAAACACTGAAATAGCACATGGCATAGTAAGTTAGCACACAGACAGAGAGAAGCAACCATCAACCCCGAAAATGGGTAAGTCTTACTTTGGGACGCCTGAGAAACCCATGCTCTGAAGGGACCTTTCCCGGAGTTCCCAACCAGCGGAGGGATTACATTACGTCAGAGAAAATGTTGGGGTCAGAGATACTCCCAGCTCCTGGCAACTTTCTACAGGGGCAATACGAGGTCTGTCGCCCCTTAACTGAGCCACCGCAGATGGTCTCGAGGTCACTTTTATTTCAGGCGACACAGCTAAGGCTCCTAGTTTGAGAAAGGATTATACTAGAAGGACTTTGAATGTTGCAACTTTCACTGTAGGGCCTCCATTTAAACTGCATTTCGAAGGGAAGGAAAGGGAGGTGAGAAAAGAAGTCAGATTTTGCTGCAGACCGAAATTATCCTACAGAAGGCCGAGAGCAAGTAGGAAGGGGCTGACTTGAACAAACGGCCGCTTCACCCAAGGATCAGAGAGAGGAGAGACTATCTGGGATGGTAGCCCTTTGGAATGAGCGTTGAAGATACATAAAAAATGTTGTTACATCTTTCCGTTCTAACCTGACATTTATATAGGATCTATGAATGTTCTCCTTGAAATGGCATCCCAAATACTGAATTTTCAAGCACAAGTTAAAACATGTTCAAAAGTCTCCCGTCACATCAACCAACTTCCCATGAGTTGAAATTCCACTCAAAGTTTGTCTGATCATACAAACTGAAGGAGGAACTTCACGGCTGCCCCGTGCGCATCCAGATTCATGTGAAAGAAATCATTCTAAGACAAGTTTTAAAATTAATCTCACTATTTTTATTGTTCGGCTTGTACCTTAACTATGGCGTAACGAATTTGCTATTTCAAAAGCTGGTAGAGCCAGTAACCCCAGTATTATCTGCAGATCGTCCAAGGTACTTCTTACACTTGAAAGCATCTTCTTGGATTCTACCGTTGGCTCCGAAAACAGGGGCTCTGAGTGGCCAAGGAAAACACTTTGTGTCTCATTCAGGAAAACTTCGGGGTGTGCGTGCAGCAGTGGAGAGAGGACGAAATACAGGCCAGACAGTTCCAACTCAAAGCCTAGCCCCTCTAGAAGAGCACTTGGCGGTTCCTCAGAAATCCCCGATTCTGACCGCTTCTGAGGGCGCGGTAGTCCTGACGCCCGAGACTCCGCTGTGCGGCCCCGTCCTCCGTCGCAGTTGGTGGCCCCGGGCCCTCCTTCCAGCCAGTGCCTCAGCAGAGCCTCCCTCACTCCGCAGCACACCCCAGCAGAACGCTCTTCTGCGGGAGCACAGAACACATGCACAGTCTTGCTCTGACCCACTATGGAAGCTGAATTTCTTCGTAATGATTCTTTCAAACATGGAAGCGCTTTGTTGCCATTGTGAAGGAAGAGGCTGGCCTCACTCGAAGCATTTTTCATTTCCACTGATAACTCCTCATTTTGTGAATTTCCATCCCTGTCAACCGCAGGCCTAGGCATCCAGGAGGGGGAAGGTGTATCTGTCGGGCAAGGGCTCTCCCCCTGTGCTCCTTCAAGTCCATACAGCAGCCGGTCTGAGTCCTCTCCTGCCGCCTGCACCTTCCCGAGGCAGGTGTCCCTCATGCTGTGTGTTCTCTGATGTGGTGAGCCTGACGACGCGCCTCTGTCAGTCAGCGGAAGGCCTTCAGTGGATCTCAATATGAACCTGGAAGAGATAATCAGAGTATTATTATGAAGACAGAGCCTTGAAAGAGCCTACACATACCAGGTACTTCTAACAAACAGGAAGATCTCTTTTTTCTTTTTTAATATTTTATTTATTTATTTGACAGAGAGATCACAAGCAGGCAGAGAGGCAGGCAGAGAGAAAGAGGGAAGCAGGCTCTCCGCCGAGCAGAGAGCCCAATGCGGGGCTCGATTCCAGGACCCTGAGATCATGACCTGAGCCGAAGGCAGAGGCTTTAACCCACTGAGCCACCCAGGTGCCCCAGGAAGATCTCTTTAGCAGTCTCTGGTACCAAGGACTCCTACATTTTGACAGAAAACAGGATGACAACCTACCAATTAGAGAACACAACAAAAAGAACATACTTAAAAAAAAAAAAAAAGAAAACTAAACAGTACTTTATTACTGCAGGGTTTCCTAAAAATACTTAAAATTTTAAAAAAAGGGGCGCCTGGGTGGCTCAGTGGTTTAAGCCGCTGCCTTCGGCTCAGGTCATGATCTCAGGGTCCTGGGATCGAGTCCCGCATCGGGCTCTCTGCTCAGCAGGGAGCCTGCTTCCCTCCCTCTCTCTGCCTGCCTCTCTGTCTACTTGTGATCTCTCTCTGTCAAATAAATAAATAAAATCTTTAAAAAAAAAAAATTTTTTTTTAAATTCTTAGGCTTTGTAGTTTTCACAGCTATTTAGTTATTTCTGTGGGTTCTATAAAAATCTGTCCTCTATTTAATCAGGATGTAACTGGATGACTTGATTATGCAAACCAAGGACCTACCTGACGTGTCCTATTTGAGACTGAGACTCAGTGACTCAAGCATGACAAGCCACTTTTAAGGAATCAAGGTCAACATTATTTACAGATCTGATGTCCACAAAGCCCTCCCAGGAAAAACCGGCGTGGAGGGGTCCTGGCATACAAGGTCACAGCCTCAAGGTGGTAAGGAAGATCAAGGCTGTCAAGGCAGGGACCTCAGCAAATTCTGGAGCCTTGTTAAGAGAAGAATTCACCGAATTTATAGGTATTACAAGTAAAAAAAGGGTGGAGAAAGTTTCTTGGGCTTACATCCCCACTCTCAAACTCGCCTAGTCCGAGATTCTGCGTGAAAACTTCGGGACAGAAGTTGATTTGTGACCTCGGCAGTGGTTCAAGAGCAAACTCAAGGTGGCCCGTACGGTTAACATTCTTGCTGTACCTGCAACGCTAACGGGACCAACCTTTTTCTGTGACCATGAATCATCTTTCTTTGACATCATTATGCCCCCAATGGGGAAGACGTGTCAGGAAAGGCTGAGAAAGAGCCTTGAGACAAGGAAACAAGCTGAATGGGCGCACTGTCCACTGCGTCCCCGGGCTACCTGAGTTTAGGGGGCCCTGCACCTGACTCTGAGTTGTAAAAACTGTGAGAGGAAGGCAAAAGATTTCTTATCCAAATAATTAAAAACCCTGTTCAGAGGAATACAACTGATTATTACCCTGTGGATACTGACCATGTGTACTGATCATTTGTACTGCACTTTGGCACTCCTAATTACGTGTGCGCGTGTTCTAAATTCTCCTTTAAACCGATTAGAACATCTAATTAATCTAATTAATGAGTTAGCATCTAATTAATGATTTCCCTCATTAATTGATGAGTTAAAAAAAAATGTTGACCCATGTTCCTTTAAAAAACAACCATAACCCCAGAGCATTAATACATGGGAAATAAAGAAATATATCGACTCTATTTACTATTTTTCTAGAAGGCCAGCTTAAGGAAGAACAATGTAAGGAAAACACACAGCTCTGCTGGGAGAAAGGAGGGATGGAAATGTGGGACGTGAGGCAGAAGCCTGACAGCGCACAGCTCGTTTCCCATGGAAAGACAAAGCCTGAGAGCGAAGAGTCAGGAAGCAACAACTGTGCAATTCAGAGTGAGAGAAATCCGGACAAGGAGAGCCCCTGGAGCTGAGAGGCCTGGCTCTGGGGACAGAGAAATGGGGGGCAGGAAGCTGCAGTTCCTCTAACCAGGGGAACAAGCTAGGTGAGTGTGTAAGTGTGTTACATTTTTTAAAAATGTAAAGAGAGGGGCACCTGGGTGGCTCAGTGGGTTAAGCCTCTGCCTTTGGCTCAGGTCATGGTCTCAAGGTCCTGGGATCGAGCCCCGCATCGGGCTCTCTGCTCGGCAGGGAGCCTCCTTCTCCCTCTCTCTCTGTCTGCTTCTCTGCCTACTTGTGATCTCTGTCAAATAAATAAATAAAATCTTAAAAAAAAAAGTAGAGAGAGTACACTAGGAAGAAAATGAACAATTGTTGGAGGCTGAAGCAGAAGCAAAAAGGGCAAAGGGAGAGGGTGTGAAGCCAACCAGGGCGAACGAGGCGCACGGGTCGCGGTGCAGGGAGCATGGCCTCCATCAGCAGAGCCACTGAGCGACATTCGGCCAGGAGATGGTGGCCGGATCTGCATTTCTGACTAACTCTTTGGCTGCAGGGTGGTGGCTGTGGCGGGTGGAAAGGAATCACAGAGACCAGTGAGGAGGCTATTCCAATTCCACGGGGGGAAGAGTTGAGGCTGTGGATGAAGAGGAAAGAGAAAATATTTTTCCACTTGGTGGCTGACGGATGTAGAAAGGGAGACCACCACCGGTTTCTCTCATTTCACTTCTAGGTAATGACGGCATCACGAATGGAGAATGGAGAGCAGCAGCAGGTCTGGAGGGACGTCTAACAGCTCAGAATGGGGACACAGGAGTCTGACTGTGGAACTGGGCAAGCATTTGGATTATTAATAAAGTGGTTGGCTCAAGAGTGACGTCAGAACTCAGACCCAGATTCTGAAGTCCCCAGCTTTGGGGAGGTGGGTAAAAAAGAGAAGATGGTAAGATACAGAAGGCCAGGCTCTCCGAGATCTAGCGAGGGCACCCCAAAGCCACCAAGAGGGAAGATTCAAAGCAACTCGAGAAACTCCATGTCATAGACACCAAGAGCGTCAAGCACTTCAAAAAAGAGGACAGTTAGATGTGTTTCTTGCACAACTTCATTGGCTCCAAATAAACTCTAAACTTCATACAATCTTCTAGTGTAGCGGTTGCTAAATGGGGTGATCCCAACTCAAGGAGTAGAGGAGAAAATATCAGATCTCTGCCTAGCTCATTTTATCTCATTCCCCTTTAACTTTTTCTAAGTTTTACAATATATGCCATATTTTGGTGGAGAACCATATAGTTTATAAATACATCTCTATCTGGAGGACACGCTCAAAGTTTTTACCAACAGAAATGTGATCAATCCTCTACAGAATTGATAAAAATGTATTTGAACAGGATAAAGCAATACACAAATGCAAGATGCCATTTTTTAAAAACTGCGATATAATGTTACATTAGTTTCAGGTGTACAACATGAGGGCTCAATGTTTGTATATATTACAAAATGATCACCAGGAGTTGACATCCGTCACCACCCATTACCATTTTTTTCTTGTGATGAGAACTTTTAAGAGGTACAATCTTCTAAGTATGGATTCTGGCTACAATTCAATACAGCTGACCCTCAAAAACATGGGTTTCAATTACCCAGGTCCGACGCGCCCTGGTGGTCTAGTGGTTAGGATTCGGCGCTCTCAATTACACAGGTCCACTTTTATGCAGGTCTTTTTCCACAAATACAGTACAGTCCTGTAAAATATTTTCTCTTCCTTATGTTAATATTTTCTTTTCTCTAGATGGCTTTTTCTAAGAATACAGCATATGGCACAAAATATATGTTAACTGTTATTGCTAAGTTAGATTTTTGGGAGTCAAAATTTACACCTGGATTTTCAATTGCACAGGGGTCCTAACTCCCACCATTGTTCAGAGTCATATATACTTTCAAAGTTTACCCCATCGAAAACTAGTCAACTTCTCTGGACAGTTCTTTCAAGTTAAGTTTCCAAAGCATATTTGTTCAAACTCTCCATTTATATTACTGATTTCAAATGTACTAAGAACATTTTCCTGAAATGAAAGCATTCTCAAATATACATATTCATGGGGCGCCTGGGTGGCTCAGTGGGTTAAGCCTCTGCCTGTTGGCTCAGGTCATGATCTCAGGGTCCTGGGATTGAGCCCCGCATCAGGCTATCTGCTCAGCAGGGAGCCTGCTTCCCCCTCTCTCTCTGCCTGCCTCTCTGCCTACTTGTGCTCTCTCTCTCGGTGTCAAATAAATAAATAAAATCTTAAGAAAAAAATATATATTCATACATATGTATGTGTATATATATATATTAGCTTTTATTTAATTTATATGAGAGAGAGGACACACAAACATGAGCAGGGGGAGGAGCAGAGGGAGAGGGAGACCAAAGTCCAGCTCGATCCCGGGACCCTGAGATAGTGACCTGAGCCAAAGGCAGACGTTTAACCAACTGAGCTATCCAGGCACTCCTTAAGAATGTTTATAAATACCTTATTTTAATATGTATTAAAAATATATTTGAGAAGCACCAGGCTGGCTCAGTTCATTAAGCATCTGTCTTTGGCTCAGGTCACAGTCTCAGGGTCCTGGGATGGAGCCCTGCAGGCAAGCACCTGACTCAGCAGGCAGTCTGCTTTCCCTCTCCCTCTGTTCCTCCCCCTGCTCACGCCCTCTCACACACAAATTTTTAAAAATATTTTTTAAAATAATAAAATAAAATAAAAAATTCTTAAGAAAAACATGTTGCTTAATAGGGGCCAACTCTCAGGAAAATTATCTAACTACTTTTAGCATGTCCTTGTACAAGGACTTAGTGCTGTTCAGAAAGATGAAGTATTTCCAGAATTGTGTTAAAATACTCCAGCTAAGGTACCACTGATGTAATCACATATTTAGTAATGTCAGAATATGTTGTTTACTGAAGATCTAGTTCTTTAGTAAATTCAGTAATAAACTACATATTTAATCTTGACAAAAATACTTCAGGTCAGGGGCGCCTGGGTGGCTCAGTGGGTTAAAGCCTCTGCCTTC